GTTGGATGAAAAGCTGTGCAGCCTTCCTTCCCTGGGCCAGGCAAGCCAAGCCACTGAGTTTGCTCATGGCTGAGAAGGAAAGGACCTAAAATGACCTTTCCTTCTCCCACTAGCCATCGAGAAATTGAGGCTGTGTTGCCCCCATGCACAAGCAAGAGCAGCCCCTGGGCTGTGCCCCGTGCGGGCTGGCGATGGGGCCAGGGGAAAGATGGAGGCTCTGGACCGGCCCCTTGGGGAAGGATGTGCGAGTGCCTCTGCATGGCAAGGGCCAGAGCCATGCTCCCCTCTGCCTCCAGAGCACCAAGCAGCTCCTTTCCTAGGGCTACCAAACCCCTAAAATTGACTCAGTGAGCAGCACGGGCATTGCTGTGATCACCAGCGTGGCCCAGTCGCTGCTAGATGGCACCAGCTGAGAGCCGCAGCTGGGGAATGCACTGAGGTGGTTGCTAAACTGGGATTATTATTTTCTTTTTTTTCCCCAAGGGCAAGTATGAGCTGGTCAGCACAGGAGCCAACGTTGAAATTGCTAAGCTGACTTAACTTTTTTTTTTTTTCTCTTTGAAGAAGTATCTAGAGAGAGTGTAAATCATCTTGTGGTTGATTTAAATGAATTGGATGCGATCGAAGCCAAACTTGCACTGAAATGACAAGAGATGTGAATGATGTGGATTTACACGTCTTTTCTGCAGAGACCAGTATCTGGGAATAAAAAGTGGAAGGAATGTTATTTAGAGCTTGTTTCAAGCTTCTTTCAAATGGTGGAGGGAAAAAAAAAAGACAGATATATTAGAACCCCTTTTGAAATGTTAAATGTATTTTACTTATATTTTACCGTTCGGTTTTGGGTAAAACCACTCGCCGTAACTCTTAGGAATCAGCTGGGGTTTTGGGGACACTGGGAGAGGGATCCCCAGGGACCTTCCTCCCTCCGCCTCTGTGGAATGCCCAAGTCCTGGTTTTATTCTGCCTGAAAAGGGTTCTTTTTTTTTTTTTTTGTGCCCGCCGCCTCTCCCCAGCCAGGCAAATCCCAGCAGCTGAGAGGCTGCTGAGGGTGGTGTGATGCTCTGACCTGCCAACAACAATTCAGGGCTGTGTTTCCTTTCGGAAAAAGGCATTTGCATATCCTCTATTCCCTTCATTTAGTCAAAAACATTTGAAAAGGCAAAGCTCTGGGTCACTGAGGCTGAAGAATGAGCTGTCTGAGAGCCTCCCCCCACCTTAACTCTTTGAAACCTTGCTCCAAGTGTCTGAGATTCTTAAAAATATTCTTAAAATATCCAGAAAGGAGGATTTAAGGGCTGTTTTTGCAGCAGGGAAGGGAGCTGGGGATGGGGAAAAGCCTTGACAGCAAGGAGGCAGCGGAAGGGTGCCATATATCTCTGAACTGAAAATTCGCTTATGTGCCGCCATAGACAGACTTGGGGAGAGTTTGTAAAAGTTAGCAGGGACAGAAACACCTTCATGAGGGCTTGAAAATATCTGGGAAAATAGGAGAGCTTTTACAGGAGTGTTACAGCAGTGCCAGGCACAGAAACGTACAGCGTGCTGCAGGGTGTGAAAACCAGAAAGTGGAACCGAGGAGAAACAAAAATACAAATAACCCCATTGCTGCTTAGGTTAACAAAATCCCCAAACCCCCCTAAAGCAAGAGCAAAGATCCTGAAACACAAACCAAGTGTTTAAAAACGTTCAAACAACGTAACCACGTGTTTTCACTGTCAGAAGGAGAGAAAGTTTCAGTGAAGTATTTAACTTTGAATATTTAAGGACATCTCAAACCACAGCCCGACCACAGCTTTCTCAAAACCCTGCTGTGAGACGATGCCAATCCCCCCCCTGCTTTTCCCCTCATTTTCCAGCCCAGTGCCAGGCCCTGGCTGCTGGGGGTGCAGGAGCGGGGTGCGGGCTGTGGTTGGGGTCTGGGGGTGGTGGGTGCCAGCCCCATTGACACACCAGGATGCAGAAGGGGGTCCCTGGGACCAGGGCAGGATATGGCCCCTGCACCTCCCTGCGTGCCACACCCGCCGTGCTCAGCTGCAAAATGGAGCCGCTGCTTCTGGACGCCTTTAAACTGGAGGATGACAGCTGGGAAGAGCTGCGTAAGCAATAAAATCATCATCGTGGGTTTATTTTTGTTCCTTTGCCATCCCGTTGGTGTCCTTGTGGTGTAAGGAAATGGAGGGCTAAAGGGAGAGGAGGCAGAAACACTTGCCTGGTAGTTTCACGGTAATGTTCTTAATTATTGAATTAATCCTCTATTCACGCAGCATGTTTCCTTCCTGCTGCTCTCTGTAAATGGTCAAAAATATATACTGTGTAATCAACACAGGCATAATATGTCACCAAAAGTCACAGACAGGAAAAATTGACTGCTAAAAAGAAACATGAGGGAGTAAAGTTCCCCCATCTTTGACGTGACTTTCATTATTTTAATTGTGGCTGGGTTTTATTTCTAGTCGCAGCAGGATTTTCCGTAGATGGGCCTTAAGGCACGTAGAGATACTGTTGGCAGATTTCTGTTCGGTAACGAAAGCTGTGGCCCTGGGTTATGGGAATGTCCTGAAAGACGAAGCAGCCGTTTTTATTGAGTTATCCTCAGAATTTCGAAGTGCCGTGTGGGACTCTGGGCTGTGGAGCGATGAAAGCCCAGGAGCTCGCGGGCCGGCTCCGGCTCCGAGCCCGGTGTGGTTTCCTGGTGGTACAGCCTGGGTTAGCTGCTCTGATGGCTCTGCATCCTCCTGGCCATAAGCATCACTCTGGTTAGAATTCAACCTTAATCTGTGTTTCTCATTCATTTTGATAAACCATAAAAGCACAGAGGATTCAGTACGTTACTCTCTCTTACGGTACTCTTCTTCCACGTTGTGTTTGACTGTGAGCATTAAAAGCTCTGTGATTTACTGATACACCTTCTTTTTTTTTTTCCCCCTGGACAGGTGAGGTCTCAGCCAAATCCCATAAAAGTCCTTTGAAGTCTTTCCATTGATTTCACTGGTAGTTGGATCTCACTGGGGTTTAGACTGAGCCGTAATCAGCACAAAGGGTGAAGTCTTATTTCCTTTGTACTTGCAGAGTACAAACCTCCCCACTACCTAACGCGCTAAGGTGAGGGTCAGTTTGGGGCAGTTTTCTACAGAAGCAGAAGTCGCTTGAGTCCTGGTTTGAAGCACAAAGAGCTTTGTCACTCCTCTTGCCTTGGCCGGGTCCTGGGTGCTCAGCGCCTCGGGGCTCAGCCCCGCCAGCCCCATGTTCTGCAGAGCACAGAGAATCCATCTGTGGGAGGATCGGATGCATGCTTGAAGTGTCCTCCAGGTTCCAGCGCCAAAGGCTCTTAGAGCAAAGCCCTGTTTATGGCGAACGGCGTGCTTTCCCTTGGCTACGTGTCCAAAAAAGGGGGCTGCCTTCCCATAAAATGCTCTCCCGGTTACTCTGCTCTGCAAATCAGCTGGCAGAAAACACTGGGTCATTAGGGAAGCTTTTATTCTGCATATTGCTTAAGAGTGTTCTTATGTCCACCTTCCCCTAATGTAGGAAGCCTAAACCCAGTTTTCTCCCTTTGCTCCGTCTCGTGTCTCTCCTATGGTTATTCCAGCAAGCGAGTCCTTACGCTGTCTCTACGTGCAACGAAAGCAAGACAAGAGAAAGGGAATAACTGCTCAGGGTATTTACCGGGGAGGTGGAATGGCCTGAAGCTGTCCTAAAACCTTTGTTTCACTGAAGGCCTCCACCTATGCTGAGGAGATATCACCCGCTGTCATCTCCACGGAGGCAGGCAAGAGCATCCATTACCGCTGGGTGCTTGAAAGAAAACCTGACAGGAGGCTGTAGCGGGGTGGGGGTCGGCCTCTTCTCCCTGGTAATGGGCAACAGGACAAGGGGAAATGGCCTCAAGTTGTGCCAGGGCAGGTTTAGGTTGGACATTAGGAAAAATTTCTTCACAGAAAGGGTTGTCAGGCACCGGAATGGGCTGCCCAGGGAAGTGGTGGAGTCCCCATCCCTGGGGGGATTTAAAAGCCGGGCAGACGAGGTGCTTAGGGCCAGGGTTTAGTGGTGGGATGGCAGGGGTAGGGGAATGGTTGGGCTGGATGATCTTAAAGGTCTTTTCCAACCTAAACGATTCTATGATTCTCTTATAAATAGATGTGTCAGAGTAGCTTGGTTTTAATCCGATATTTATTGAAAATCAGCATTCCCACATCCCCTCTGGAGCGCTCCATCACGAACACAGCTGTGTTGTATCCATAGGCTACAGGTACTCAAGTACCCAGCCAGCCTGGGGCTGCTCACACACCTGGAATATTTTCCCAACTACAAAGTTTCTGTGGAGCTGTGGCTCACAAGGAATGAAGGGGCAAGAACCTGAGCTGGTGAACATTGCTGAGGTCCCATTAAGCCAGCACCGTGATGCTGATTTACACTTGCAGACCATTTAGGCCAGTACTCCCTGCCTTACCCTGGCAAATTTATGAATTGAGCCTGATTGCAGAATACCCACATCTGAGCCAAAGGAGTGCCCTTCGCCAAGCCTGCCCGAAATCTCATTAAATACTCTCTTCATTCATGAGTGTTAAGTGTCCTTTGAGAATTCTCCATCCTGCACTCCCAGTGCACAACTTCACAAGTGCAATTTAGGACAGGTCAGACGGAAACTTTTTTAACTGTGGTAACAGTGAAAGAGAGTTCAGACAGCGCCTCCCCCTCTGCTCCCCCCTGCCCTGCCAAGCAATTGCAGAGGTCCAGCCTACGTAGGGTTCCAGGGAAAAAAAGAAAGAGGTGAGGAAAAAAATAATTTCCGTATTAACAAAGCCAGGTATCCATCCCGGAGGGGTGGACACCCCGAGTGCTTTGCTAACTGCCACAGTTCTAAGAAGGGGTGGACCAGTAAATAACAGGGCAGACTGGGGTGAGGCTGGTGGTGGGGCCCGGGGGGGGCGGCCCGCCCAGCGTTATCTCAGCTCAGAAGCGGGGAGTGGGAAGCAAGCAGAGTCTGTCGGCTTTCGGTTGGAAGGAATGTTCTTTTAGTTAGGATAAATGTCTTAGCCAGACCTCTCGAATCTTAAATATTAATTATTTTGCCACCACAAACGAACGGGTTTGGTTTTGTTATTACTGGTGTAAATTAATAAAACCTGGTTTTGGCTCAAATGCCAGTTTTTTTCTTTGCTTTTAATATATGTAACAATGTAAGGATGATGTTGGCAACAGTTACTCTCCTTTATTGAGTCAGATGATTCACATTTATTCTACTCTATCTGTGAAGTTTCTAATTTAGCAGACTGGGACTGGCAATGCAGACTTTCTCAGTGTCAGAAACTTCACTTTTTGATGACTTTTCTGAAAGGGGGGGGGGGGGGGGGAATGAAATGCTGCCTTTCATTTTAAATGGAGCATTTGCAGGAAGGCTTTGCAGTTTTAGATCCAAAAGCCTTTGCCTCCAGCCTGTTAGGAGCCGTAAGGCTTCCAGCGTGACGAGGAGAAGTGCCAAACCATGGAATATTCAGTAGGAGAAGGGGTGAGTTTTGCCCATCTGCCAGGAGCTGGGATAAGGCTCCCACCGCTGGGATGCGGAGCCTCCAGTGCCTCAAGGGTTACACCGGGGCTCTGCTGCTGCCGCCCTAATGCAGCCTAAGCCGATATTAGCCCAGCTTAACTTCTTTGGGCAGTTTGCAGCTGGGAAGGGGGTGGGACGCCCGGAGTCAGCAGTTCCCAACGGGAGCCCCAGCCATGAGCTGAACAAAACACAACCCCCAGAAAGGGGTGGGAGGTGCTGTGGGAGACCCCTCTGTGCAGAGAGGGACCCCACGGGAAAAGGGGGGGTCTCAGCTGCGTTGCTGGGTGTTGCGGTGTGGGGGGAGCCCCGGGTGGCTGGCGGGACGGGGCTGAAGCACCAGTACCAGTTTGTGGCTTTGGCAGTTCCCTGTTGTTTCCGATGTTTCCAACGGCTTTGGGGGGGCGTGGGGAAGCTGCTGCCC